CTGCTGGGCCAGCTGAGTTGCTCAGGGAAACCATGGAGCGCACTGGTCGGGATAGGGAAGATGCCCCTGAATTTGGCGACGGCCATTTCACGCATCATGAGAGACTCAGGGCAGAGGGCGTGCCGGTATACGAAATGGAAGCCAGGCACGAAGAGGCGGGCAGAGAAGATGCCCGAATCACGCAACAAGACGGACCCATCCGGCCAACGTGGCAACTCCCCAGCCTGGCCATTGGCGACAGGCGGATTTCACTACACGCACCCGGGGCATTCCCGCGCAGCGGTGAAGACGAGGATCCGTGGGATGCCAGATAGAACGCAGTAGGTAGCCAGCTTGTCCCAAAAAAATCTACTTCAACCCTCCGCTCAGCAGCACACTCTGCCCAGTCAGATAGCCCGTGTCACAGAACATGAGCACAACATTAGCCACCTCACTCGGCGTCCCGAGCCGGCCGACGGGTATGTTCTTGACATCGCCCGGCGTGCCAGCGACGAACGACGCGTCAGGAATCAAACCCGTGTCGCCAATCATGGCCGGCGCCACGTCGTTGACCGTGATCCCGTCCCTCGCGTGCTTCCCCGCCAGACTCCTCATCAGCCCCTGCAGGCCCGCCTTGCTGGCGGCATAGTGACACCCGTTAATGCCGCCGCCGTGCGCCGCCAGCGAGGACACGTAGACGATCCGGCCCCATTTCTGGGCCGTCATGTGCGGGATCGCCAGCTTGGACAGGATGAAGGCGGCCCGCAGGTTGACCGAGAGCGTGTAGTCGAACTCGTCGACCGAGATGTCGGCAATGTCCGGGATGCGCCTGCCGTGGCCGGCGTTGGAGATGAGGATGTCGGGCCCCGGGCGGCCGTGCAGCTGTCCTATGCTCGTGAAGAGCGCGGTGATGTCGTCGGCCGAGCAGACGTCCACCTTGTGCGTCGAGATGACTGGGTTCCCCGGGGAGTCTTCTAGTTTCGGCCGGAGCTGCCACAGTTCTGTCTCGAGCGCGAGGATCTTGTCCTGGTTGCTCGAGTAGGTCAGGGCCAGGTTGACGCCGCGACACCACAGTGCCCGCGCGCAGGCTGCGCCGATTCTGGGGGGTGTTAGAGGTCGGTTCTGAAAAGGGGGAAAGGGGGGGTACATACCCTCCGGATGCGCCTGTGATCAGGGCGAGTTTGCCTTGGAGATTTTCGGATGACATGTTGAGTTGAGTGGGGGATCAGGTGGTGAGGGGAGTTGCTCGAGATGTTTGGCTGCGAATCGGATGGCGGAAATGGATAGCCGTTGCTGCACAAATATTCCCCACTAGGTATGTAGCAGACACAAGCACTGCGGGTACCGCAGACGGAATCTGCAGTACTGTAGCTGTTTAGCCATACTGTCAAAGTGATACTGAGTATCACAAACAGGATCTAACCATCCCTCGAGACGACAGCATACACCTCGGGCGTCAATCCATTGATTCTTGGAGCGATCTGCAGACGGTTCTGCCCACGCTGATTCCAAGGTATTGTACCTAGGTAGCACAGTGGCGGCACACCTGTGCAAAGGTAGTGGCTAGTGGCTCCTGCCGCTTCTGCCTAGATGCAGGTTCGCCAGTGGGATTGGGCAACAGTGCCCAGATTCAATCATTCGATGCGTGGTTTTCTTTTCTTTTTCTTTCATCTCACCTCGCCCAGCCTAGTTCGCGCTGTACCGGGAACCAACGAAATTGGACTTGACCATCATCCGCCATGTATGAAAAGCTGTCCCCCGGTCATATTCGATTGATGAAATTAGCTCCGGGACCATGGGACGACCGCCTCTGCTTCACCCTGTCCACGATCCCCTTCGACGCGACATCTCAGGGCGATGAATCTCCTCCCAGTTATCGGTACGAACAGTCATTTTCATCTCGTTCTCATGCGGTTAGTATGGGCATCCAAACTTGCTGACATAGACTCCCAGGGCTCTTTCATATGTATGGGGCTCCACGAACCCGCGGGCTCCCCGACACGCCTACCTCAACGGCAGCGTTGCCGTACCTATCACACCCAATCTCGAACTGGCCCTACGTCGAATTCGAAAATCCAGTGAATCCGTCACACTGTGGGTCGATGCTGTGTGCATCAACCAGAATGATGTCGAGGAGAAGACGCATCAGGTCTTGCACATGCGTGAAATCTATAGCCGCAGCCAAGAGGTCATCATTTACCTCGGAGAGCCAGACCTTAGCCATGCCCATCCAACTTTCAGCGAACCACCTCACGCGGTCGGACCGGTCGTCTTTCATTGTGACGAGAGAGACGCGGAGGTGCTCAGTCAGTTCCAGCGGAGATTCACGGCAGTATCTACCCACAAGGATCGCTTGGGAAATATTGGTTACGGCAACGACATGTTCTGCCTCTTGCGCCTTCTAGCCAGAGACTTCGACCCAAGAAGCACGACCATTTTTAGACAGGATTTCCATTCTAACGCGAATTCCAAGTACCTGCTCAGGCTTTTTGAGATGCTCCGGCTATTCACCCTGTGTCGATGGTGGACCCGAGTATGGGTAATCCAAGAGATCGTCGTTCCGGACCAAGTGACGGTATACTACGGGGCGGCCGTAGCACCTTAGACCATGCTAGTCAAAGCCGCACATTCATTCTCGCGTAACAGCCTCTCGAGTGCCTTCTCAGGCCTTCCTGACGAATATAGCCGCGTGCTCGCTCGATACTCACGAATCGTCCTCGATATCCATGAAGTCCGGGAGCGGTGGCAGGGCGGAGAACGGCCTGGCATGCTAAAACTCCTCAGGCAGTTTGGCGGGCGGAAAGCCACCGATCACCGGGATATCGTGTTCGCACTGGTTGGACTGACCGAGGGAAAGTCTACCATCGTCCCGGACTACGCGCTACCATTGGCCTCCGTTTACCAGAACACCACATTGGAGATCATCGATGAGACCGGAACCTTGGATGTTCTGATCGGGGACGTTGATAGGAAATTTGGGAGATATTTGCCCTCTTGGGTTCCCCAATGGGGTACCGACCAGGAGGAAACCGACCGCTACCGAGTCGAATCGACCAGCAATTACAACGCCGCACCAGGGTCAACAGTTCACGTGCAACATCACTTGACGAAGGTTGACGATCTCTGCAAAGGGCTCCATTGGGAAGGAATAATACCGGCGCGGCCACCTCGACGCCAGCTAGTTTTACCGGCGCAGCCACCTGGCAGCTCAGCCTTGGATTTGATGCGGTTGAAAAACTGGTGTAGGGACATATTGGGCGAGCAATGGGAGGATCTTCTGCTGAAGAAACCTTATCAAGAATTCGAGAAGGATTGCTTGGAAGCAATCCAAGATTACTACCGTATGTATCTCTCTGCGATCCTATCAGCGAACATCAATTATGGCGAGCAGAGCTTGACAGCTGACACTATGTAGTGGCGGATCGTCGGGAGGCGTGGCTTTATGCCAACCACGACGTCCTATCAGTTCCTGGATGCCATATTGATCAGATCTACGCTGTGGGAGATCTCATGATTGAGCCCAGCTCGACAATGGAATCATGGGCCGTCCTTGCGGCCTCTTATTTTGCTTCCCATCCAAATACCTTCTACAAAGAGCATGGCCCAGGAGAAGCCTTTCGGAGGACGCTCTGTGGAGACCTCATCTTCGATACCGAATCAATCGCTTCCTCTTCACGGCGTATCGCAGATATAGACTCCGTCGCGGTGGCTGATTGGTTCCTGCGAGGGGGGACATCCCCTTTTCGCCTCTCCAGACGGCTACCACTGTCCCGTTCAGAGATGGTCCACGGGTTTCTGTTCCGTGATGTCGATCCGGAACGATGCATGCCGTCGAAACAGTCCTGGCTGGAGGTGGAGACAGCAATCCGGGTCGCAACATACCGGCGCAGGTTTTTCATTACTGTGAATGGCTATATCGGTCTTGGGCCTAGCAAAATACGAGAGGGAGACTCGCTTTTCGTTCTGCTGGGTGGCAGAACACCGTTTATTCTACGAAGCCGGGTCGACCGCCATCTCGAGTCCAGGCCAGATGGGCCGGATGGTTCCTCAGACTTGGCAACTTCAGACCTTGCAAATGCTGACCGCATAGCATATGGCTTACTTGGCGATTGCTACGTACACGGACTAATGGATGGCGAGGCTATGCACGGATGGTCCGCCACCGCCCGGAAGACGCTGAGCGAACCAGTCGAGCCCTTGAGGCGGGTGTATTTTGAATGGAATCAACAGGCAATACGCCTCGAACGATGTATTTCAAAGCTGGTGGACGTAGAATCCAAGTTCGACCAGGTCTGGAAGAAAGTTCTCTCCCACCCTTCTTTCGACGGCCGGCGGTGTGGACTCGTCATCAAACTCTATGAACTCTGGCGCTCGGAATACACGAAACTACTGTCGGCTGAGAAGTGCTGGTCTGAGAACAACCAAAAGCTCATTCGGGCAGAGTACCCTGATGGTACCGAACCAAGCCCGAGTGTTATCCGCCCTGTCCGACATGCAAAGGAAGTCCGTTTTGACTCAGCTGATCGGTTGTTCACCCAGTTCCAGCCGAGGTCTCCAACATATATCCCACGGGCGATACGGGATCTGCTAGTACAGGCTAATGAGTTGAACCCTCACCTCCCAGCACTTCACGACGTGGCGGAGGCTCTAGTCCGCGCGGCAACGGACGTGAAAGAGGCGGCGCTGATAGCGGAAACGTCCTTCGGCGCCATCGTGGATTCTGAGAGCGGAATTGGTAGAGAGACGACATCTCATGCGGATCGTATCAGTGCTAAATACGGGAAGGGCATGTATGTGTACATTGTGTAACTGACTTTGGATACGGCCACGGGGCGTTGGATGTGTGGAACATTGGATTTGCACTTGAAAGTCAACACAGGGTCAAGTGCTCACGACGTCATGAATACACATTCAAAAAAAAAACAGCCATCAACCAGCAAGTCGAAGCCAGTCTTGCGCGGCGTCGTTGTGGTTTAGAGAACATAACAAAATGAAAAAGGAAAAGGAACTAAAAAAAAATGGGGCTCTGTCGGGGATCGAACCCGAGACCTCGCACAGATACTTATTTCAAGTATGGGAAACATCCCGAAGCGCGAATCATACCACTAGACCACAGAGCCAATTGGACATGTCAAGCAGACTCTTAGGTATACCTATAACAGTAGCGCGGCTTGTCACTGACTCCAACAGACAACGAGATTGGAACATACTGGTTTGATTCCACTCCCTCGACATCGCATAGGGCTAATAACCACGACATTGTATTTCTACGATCTAAAATCCAGTAAATCATACAAACCGCCAAGCAACCCACGCAACCGCCAGCGTCGCAAAAATGACCAACCACCTCATCAAACCCCTAGTAATCATCTCCTTGGACAACCGCTCAATCGCCTCCCCATCATTCCCCCTAGGAAACGGCACATCCGGCACCTCAGTCCCCAGAATCTGACACAGCGGCTCCCACCCGTCCCTGACGTCGTAGAAGAACAACTTCTCAGCCGGAACGACCTCCCTCAGACGGGCGATGTGTCTGTCCCAGGTCAGACGGGTCAACGGCTCGGCCTCGCCGTAGAGAGTGACATTCAGCTCGCGCAGCCGGTCGATGTAGCCCACGAAATGCCGCATCGTCGGCAGCGGGAGGAGCACGGCCCGCAGGAACCAGAGCGTCGCGAGCGTCGCGACGCCGCCGATGCTGCGCTCCCAGGCGGCGACGTCGCGGGTCGTGACTATGACGATGGCGGAGGGGTGGATCTGTAGGAGTTCGGGGACGAGGAAGGCGGCGGGGGCGTCGGTGGTGGCTGCGAAGCCGGATAGTTCATTCTCCAGAATCGATTGGATGAGGGCGCGGTCGGCGGCGGATTGCGGCGGGTAGTGGGTTAGGAGGCGCGTCCAGGCTTTGATTCTGGAGGGCGGGCCGCGCGTGATTTGCGTGCCGCCGTGGTAGACTGGGCCGTGGAGGAGGAGGGCGAGGGCTTTGCTTAAGGATTCCGTGCCCGTTCGGGGGTAGCCGGCGCCGATTACGCGGAGCTTGGCGCCGGGTTGGGGGAGGGATTGTTCGTTGCCCATTTTAGCGGGGATGCACTGGGCATTGGGTTTAGATTTTGCTGGTGGTTTTGGGTTGCTGATATCTTGACTGGCGTGGCCGGGTTATATACATGTCGGGTCGTACGGAAGGATGTGGCTGGGATTGATCCTTCCATAAGCAGCTAACTGTGTATGAATACCACGTTCCGTGTCCTATGATTTGATTCTTTTACAGGGAGGGTTGGACGTCGAACTCTGACAAGGAGAGCAGATTCCAGATACCGGCCAGGAAAGAGGAGCTGCGTTGATGTTGGAACCATAATAATTAAGAAATGATTTGGACTTTCATTCATACCCGCAATCACTAGAGACCGAAAGGAACCCATGGTTAGCGCTCTTAATATGTAAACAAAAGATATAATCCAGCCCATATGTTTGCAGTCTGTAGAACATTCACGAGCTAGTTACTTCTTTGAGCGAGGTTCTCTCAGTGTTCGCTTGTATGCAAACACATGCCAGATGCAAGACAAGTGCAGGACTTGAAACGGAACACTCCAGTTCACCCACGACACACACATATGGTCAAAAGTTTACTGGGATTCCGTAGCTTGTGGCCAGCTTTCTATATCAAAAGAAGATTCATGGTCTCCCTTTCCCACACACACACAAATACTTGTCTCTGTAGCCCATTTTGTCCTTCCTCTCATGTATCGACCATAGATGCCGTGAATATTATTCCAGCTGAATGGACTGCACATCCAAAGGCTCACTGTTGCCATACTTACAGATAACAGTGTCAAGCCGTGGTTGTCAACGCAAGGTTTTTACCCCTTGGCTAAGTGACCTCCTTCCACAGCCATGCAACATTCAGTTGCACATCCGGCGCCTCCGACCACCAGCAGCTGACCAGTCAGATAAAATCGCACCCGGGAAATGACCACCGGATATCCGAAGCCGGAAGGAGCCAGCGGCGCGGCCCCGCCGGCTCCGATCCGATCCCGGCCCGGCCATGTGGCCGTGATTCACTCCAGTGACTCTCGCACGCCTCCTCGGACCCGTAGAAACACAAGGTGGATTTGTTGCAAACTCGAAACCTCCTTCCCTCTCACTCTTGGAGTCGAGGGCCTAGTTCTTTTCCTTCCACCAACCTCGGCCACCTTCCTCTCCGGCCAGCTTCCGTCTGAGCAGGGACATCCGGGGGCGGATTTTGAGAAGGGAAACTTCCATCGAATCTTCCCAACGGCAAGTAATGATATATATGATTTGACAAACTCCTGCCGTTCGAGCAACCCATGCTAACATCTGATAGTCACTATATCCCCATCTCTCAGCACCCAGGTTCCATAAGCAATCGACTATAAAAGACAAATATGGACTTGACTTCGACCCCCTTCATCGCCATGCTGGACCGCCACCAGGCCGGCCCCCTAGGCAACGCCTGGGACCGCGACAAACTACCCAGCGAGCAGAGCGCCAAGATCCCACGCACCTTCGTCGACGCCATGACGGTCCGCAAAGCCGTCAACGTCGACAAGCTCGGCGTGCCCCTAGCCCACGAGCTCCAGCCCGACGACCGCTTCGCCTTCCACTGGGTAATCTACATGTCGGCGCGCCAGACCATCAGCCCCGAAGTCCGCGACTTCGTCACGGGCGAGCTCGTCAGTACGTTTTTGTCCCTCCCTCCCCCCTTTTCACCCTGCCTCCCTACGTAATACCTAACCACCAACCAACCAACCACTAGACCCCCGCAAGTCCAAAACAGAAACCATCCCCCTCGGGACGATCCGCATGGTCCCCTTCCCGCACCTAGCCTTCCCCAGACCAGGCGGCGTCTACACCAAAGGCGTCCTCACGAACCCCGGCGCGCCAGCCAGCGCAGTCGCTAGCCCCGCCTTCGCCGGCCTGGCCGTGGCCCCCTGGACGCAGACGGACCACGCGCGCGCCGTCGACCCCAACATCTGGCCGCCGGCCGTCGAGCGCCCGACGCAGTACTGGGACGGCCGCGAGCCCTACATCAAGATCGGCCGGCTGACGGTCCGCCGCGATCACGGCGACAACAACAACCCGCGCGCGGCCAGCCAGCTGATCGACACGGTCGTCCAGTTCATGCGCGTCAACAGCCTTGCCTTCAACCAGCGCGGCTCGGATGTCGGCTTTCACAAGATCGGGCCGTAGGTTTTGTATTCTTTCTCCGTGGGAACACTGTAGTGGTGCTGACACACAAAAACAGTCGTAAGGCGAGGCTCATTCCAGAGTGGCAGGGCCTGTTCTGCGCTTTTGCTTGCGAGGACGACATCGTCCTGTGGCAGCGCCACCACTTCCAGCTGGACAGGGCTACGTAAGTTGTCCCTCTCTTTTCGAGACTAATTGTGCTAACATGTAAAGGGGCCGCTGGATGGAGGATGGTGTTCCTCATGTTGCCATGTTTCGCCGCATCGAGCTGCCGGAAGACCGGTTCGACAACGTCACCCTGAACTCCCTCTTCCTGGATGCGCCACGCATTTGATAGTCAACAAGAGCCCGATGGAACCAGGCTGAACAAGTTCTCCGGACGCGGGACGTCTTGAAAGACGGAGGAAGGTCATTGGAATCGGATTCATCTGCTGCCGGTAACGTCACGGCCTAATTCTAGGTGTTGGCACACAGCAAAATGTAATCGAGGTTATGACATTCACAATTTCTCGTTTACCGAGATCCCTGAATTTCGCCTGGATGACAAGAGTGCCGTGAAAACCGCATCCACCAGTCCGTAACGCGCAAATGCAGCCCTGCAAAACATGCCGTGATACCTGTTCCCCCCAACCCAGAAGCAACCCACCCACACATTCCCTTTACCGATTGCTCTTGGCGACACGCTCCAGCTCGTCCTTCTTCTTGATCGCGTACGAGTTGCTGCTTCCCTTGGCAGCGTTGATCAGCTCCTCAGCGAGACACTCGGCGATCGACTTGACGTTGCGGAAGGACGCCTCGCGGGCACCAGTTGTGAGGAGGGCGATAGCCTGGTTGACACGGCGGAGGGGCGAGACATCGACGGCCTGTCTCCGGACGGTACCGGCCGAGCCAATTCGGGTGGAGTCTTCGCGGGGGCCGCAGTTGACAATGGCGTCAACGGCAATCTGGATAGGGTTCTGGTCCGTCATGAGGTGGATCTGCCTGCGTCAGTATACTGCCCGAATCCCAAAAATATGAGCCGCCTACAATCTCGAAGGCGTGCGCAACAATGCGGACAGCCATGAGCTTCTTGCCGTTGTTGCGGCCGTGCATCATCAGAGAGTTGGTGAGGCGCTCGATGATCGGGCAGTTCGCCTTGCGGAAACGCTTGACAGCATAGCGACCGGCCGAGTGAGGGATATACACAGGAGCACGGATCTGGATATAGTCGCTGCATAACCATTAGCCTCCATTGTGCTTTGGAATTTCGGTGTTGTTCGGTCGGGGTCGTGGATCGGGGTTCTTACGTCAAGGAGATATCACGGATCTCGACGTCGTCGTAGCTCCATCGGTCTGGCCGCAAAGTCAGCATGTGCAGTTTGGAACTTGAGAATCAGAAATACGTACTGAATAGCTTGACAACGCCAACCTCCTGGGTGAACTCCTTGGGGAGCACATCGTAGCCGGAGACGGCCTCGACCTCAATTTCGCCCTCAGACATGGTTGTGTGTGTCGACCGTCTGCGAAACTCCGAGGGGTGGTTGTGGGTTGAAGTTTGGCGTGTGGACGGGTTGACTTGAGAGGTGCGGTGGTGTCGTGAATTTTTTGGTGGCCCCGCTCGGGTTTGGCAGAAACAGGCGGTGGACCACTCACAGCCCCGGATTTTATTAGGGCTCGGTTGACCTAAGCTTTGGCAAACGGGGCCTGCGCGCAGAGCGACACCTCAACGTCAGAAAAAACTCCCCGCCTTTCAGCGACACCAAGTCAACCTCAACCCCAAATCACCAGCACATTTCATCAAAATGGCTCCCGCGGCGTCTGGTGCGAAGAAGCAGAAGAAGAAGTGGTCCAAGGGAAAGGGTGAGATTTGCGACGGTCGATGGATGCATGCGACACACATGGGCTGACACTGCGCAGTCAAGGACAAGGCCCAGCACGCCGT